TGCTCTCAAGAGTATCTTCACTTTCATCCTCGTTCTCATCTCCTCCTGAACTAGTTGAACTATTCACATCTTCTAACTCCATTTCAATAGTAGAGGTTGTAGTTTTCATCGCCTCAATTTCAACAGGCCTACAACTTGACATTTCATCATCTTGATGTGCGGTTGCTACAATGTATTGTTGATCAATTATTCCCCGTGCTTTTGTTTTTATGACAGCTAGCCAATCTTGTTTGTCTCTACGACCACTGGGATATTTGCTGAAATAAACTTGAATAGCTTGACTTGCTAACACAAATGGATCAAACTTTCCGTATCTTCTACTATGTTTAACATCTACTAAACCATACACAGGATGAACCCTTGTGCCTCTATTCTGTACTGGATCATACCATTGACAGATAAATAAGCATACAAAGTTCTGATCTTCGCCTGGGTATTCCAAGTCAAGGACCTCATTCAAAATACCATAATAATCACACTCATCTTCTTCATGAGTGTTAATTATTAACATTATGCAAGAACTTACTCTAAGATTGGCTCAACTTTTTCACAGTTCAGTAGTACATACAAATTTTCTGTATTTATTTCTAAATCGTTGAGATATCTTTCAACAAATTTGCCATTGGGCTTTCCTTGCCTTCTAAATACTGATAGTGCAACATGTGATTGTTCTTCTACATCGAAGTCCATGTTACGACCAATTTTTGTTCTTGTTCTCCTTAAATGGGGCTCAAAATAGTAGGAGCAAAAGTGAGTTGTTTCTTGAGACAAATATGCTTCACATATTGATCCTTCTGGTCGTGCTTTATTCTTAACATATTTCTTCAACTTGTTCAAATATCTATTAAACAATTACAATCATCGTGAAATTAATAAGAATATGTTATCTCAACTGATTCAAAATTATTGAAGACTTAATAAAAATCTGAAGACATTTATATTTCGAAAGGATACATCCAACGATATTGTACAGGTCCACTAACTCTAGCTTCGTAAGGTAAATGGACTGAAAGATGTTCCATAGAATCAAAAAAATCCGGGGGAAATATCTTCTCTAACTTGCAGAGGATGATTGGTATGTTATCCTCGTACCTCCGTAAAGAATCTTCAGTTAGTTTAGATGAACATAAATCTTTGAAGAAAATGCTAAGCTCAGTCAACGGATTTGATATGTAATCGGGTAACATACAGACTATGATCGGAAGAAGAACCTCCATAATTATGAAACAATCATAACTTTTGAGTCCAAATAACATTGTAGATTTCAAGTCAACACATCGGCTTATATTTGATCCATAGCCATCAGTCATCTTTAAACCTTTAAACCACTGACATATCGATCTTTTTTGCTATAACGTGAAAGAGTACGGAGCTTTGGGCTTCATTAGTTTACCGTCAATTGTTGTTATTAACTTCAAATTTTTTCGCCGACAATACTCTTTAATGTCCATCCTTGCTTTGACATTATCTTTACTCTTTTATTTAACATCCATAATTGTATTAAAATTATTATGCAGGAAGTTCTTCTCAATGTGCATAACATCCAAATTATGCCTTATCAAATTAGTTCTCCAATAAGGTAATATCCAGAAAATACTTTTTTTATCCAATTATGTTCAACACCATAACCCAGAAATTTAGACTCTGATAGCATTGGAAAATCAATAATTATTGGAATGTTGGATATTCTCTGAAAAACATCATCACCACTTAATCTGGGTGGAGGAGGTGACCGCTCAATTCTGTTTTTAACGAATGATTCATTATTTCTTCGAAAATGGTGATTAGCATGTAGAAACATACCATGACAATCAAACTAATTATTTTTCCCTCCATGTTTTAATGTGAAAGTTTTACTGTTCTCCATGCAGTAAGGATATGCTAATTTCCCTGCTGTGCTCCAACCAGACAACATACCATAAGATGGAAAGTCACCGATGGTCCACAGCAAAGTAGCTCGAAGGAGAAATTTTTTTGTTGTTGATATGTTATATGTGAGCACTCATTCTTCCCATAATAATTTGAGGTCATCAATTAATGGTTGCAAAAAGATATCAATTTTTGCTTTCGGATTATGTGGTCAAGGTATAATCAGAGTTAAGAACATGAACGGAGTAGTCATACACATCTCTAGTGGAAGGTTGTATGGTGTTAATATAACTGGCCAACAAGAGTACGGTGTAGCTTCTTGACTATAGGGAGTAAAATCATCAGTACATAATCCCAATCTTATGATGCGGGATTCAGCAGCAAATGAAGTATGCACTCGATCAAAATGTTTTCACGCTTCAGCATCTGATGGATGAGAAAGAACATCCATTTTTGCTATTTTCTCTTTATGCCATCTCATATGGCCTGCTGAACTCATTGATGCATAGAGTCACTGAAGTCTTGGAATGATTGATAAATAAAACAAACGGGAATATGACACATCTTTCTTTAGAAGACGTTGTTTTCCTGAATTTGGCTTAAACCGAGGAGCATTGCAGGTGCGACAAATAACTTCTGCTGCATCATCCTTATAGTATAACATACATCCATTGATACAACAATCAATTTTTGTAGCAATGAGACCCAGCTTGGATACTAATTTTTTTGTTTGGTACATGTCTGAGAGAATTAAATTGTCAGCTGGATTAGTTTCTTTCATAAGACCAATAACATCATTAAAACACTCACGAGGAATATTATACTCAGTTTTAATACTTAGCATTCTCACTGCAATAGATAATTCCGAATATGTACTGCAACCATCCCAAAATAACTTTTGAGCTGAATGTAATAACTCAAAAAATTTTTGTGTTTCTGCATTTGGTGGCTCTTCCACATTAGACCTTAAATTATGACCTGCTACATCAAAAATAAGGTCTTCATAGGGTCTACTCATTTGATCTTCATCAAATGTTTCATAAGCTGTAGATGAACCGGTATGAGCATCTCTGTTTGGCTCGTACTCGCCATGTGATGTCCAAATCTAATAGTTTGGAAGAAATCCCCTACGATATAAATCAAGCTTCACATCATCGGGCTTGAGCTACTCCAAACTTTTCACATATATTCTCGTTTCACTCTCGCTCTCTCTACCCCTCTCTCTTTCTCTCTAACTATCGCTCTTTCTCTCTCTCTCTTGTTCTCACTCTCTCCCTCTCACTCTCCCTCTCTTTTCTCTCTCCCTTTCCCTCTCTTTTCTCTCTCTCTCTCACTCACTCTCCCTCTCTCTCACTCTCTCTAACACTTGCTATCTATCTATCTCTCTTGTTCTCTCTCTCCCTCTCTCTCATCTCAATGCTAGCTCTTGTTCTCTCTCTCCCTCCCTCTCTTTTCTCTCTCTCTCTCTCACTCTCCCTCTCTTTTCTCTCTCTCTCTCTCCCTCTCTCTTGCTCTCTCATATATCGCTCTATCTATCTATCATTCTTGTTCTCTCTCTCTCTCCCTCTCTCTCTCTCTTTTATCTCTCCCTCTCCATCTCTTTTCTCTCTCTCAATCTATCTCTTCCTATCTTTCTCTAACCCAAAGTCACAATCAACAAATTAGATCTATCATTACTAAATTAACACTTAATAAATAGAAAATTTAGATCTACCCAAATGATTATAATATTACCTCTTGCATATGTCTAAATTACTACCTAAATCATCCAAAATATTAAAAACTCTTGCAAATGTCTAGTGAGAACAAATAATCAAAGAAAAACGTTAAAGAATACCTTAAATTACTGATTTTTGTTCAACTCACATGAAACCTAGGGCAGTGGGCGGCGTGAGATTCGGAGTGAGATCGACGGCGGCAAGTGACAGCAAAGGTTGACCGAGCGAGAGGCGGCCGGTGTGGGGTCGGCGGTCGGAGATACTTCGTCGGTGGTGACAAACGGAGCTCGATCCAGCGATGCGGGTGGAGGCGACGGGAGAGCGACCGAAACGAGAGAGAGAAGGAAAGAATAGAAATGAAATGCGAGGTGTGGGTCTGTTCGTTTTAAGGCATTTACCGGCGGTATTCCGGCGGTCAGGACCAACGGTACCATTATAACTTATCAACGGCGGCCAAGCCGCCGTTAAACCGTCGGTGTATATTGACGTCCGGCGGTTTGCCGGTGGTTTTTGGACCGTCGCTAGTACCGGCGACTTAACATAACAAACCCACCGGTTAGGCCGCCGGTAAAAGCCGGCGGCTAAACCGCCGTTCAAACCAGTGGTTAATAAACCGCCGGTTAGAACCGCCGGTAATCGGCATTTTTCCTGTAGTGTTAGCTATATTGAGCCAATGTCTTTCCCTGAGGAAATAGATTATTTGTAATCAACCACCAACACTAGTGGATTCATGTCGATTGGAAAATGCCCCGTGGTTTTTCCCTCTTTATAGGAGTTTCCACATAAAAATTCTAGTGTCTCATATGAACGCTGCACCCCTCTATTTTTATTAGTTTGTGTGCTCGATCTTCGTATGAAGCTAGAATGCTAAGCTTTATATTTCTCAACTGCCATGAATATTCTAGGGCATAATAATATTTATATAATAGTACCATAAAATTTAAATGATATCAAAATATATTCATAAAAAAACATATTTCATTTTACATAAGTTTCTAGCAGATATAATATTTTTGATGTCATATAGATGAGATTAATGCGATGTAATATAATTAAATAAAATAATTTCAGTCCTAAATATATAAATACATAATAATTTATTTATATGGAATTAAATTATTTTTAATGACTTTTATTGTATTAATTATGTATAAACATATTACTATTTTACTATTTTCTCTTAGAAAAAATTGAAAATTATGTCAGCATGAGTTTTAATGTCATAGCAAATATTTTTTAGATTAGAGTTATTTACGAAGAATTTATATTATGTTAAACTCAAGATAAGTTTAATGATATTTAAATCTATTATGATATAATTCAGCAGATATTCTGATATAATTTTTTTCTTTTTTTTTATATATTTAAAAAAAAAAACAATTTCCTTATTTTTGAATTTTCTGCAAACAACAGCTGGGCATGGCGAGCGCGCTGGAGACTCTATGCGGTCAAGCATTCGGTGCAAAGAAATACCACATGCTAGGGATATACTTGCAACGTTCATTTATAATATTATTCGCATGCGCCACCCTTCTCCTACCTATGTACATCTTCGCCGCCCCTATTCTCCGGCTCGTTGGACAGCCGCCGGAGCTGGCGGCTCAGGCCGGAAAACTATCTATTTGGTTCATTCCTGTACACTATGCCTTCGTCTTCATCTTACCATTACAGAGATTCTTACAGTGCCAGCTTAAGAACATCGTTCACGCCGTTGTTTCAGCTATTGTGCTAATAGTTCATCTGTTCATGACTTGGCTTTTCGTTTACCGTTACAGATTTGGGTTGTTTGGCACAGCTATGGTATTGAATTTCTCGTGGTGGGTTGGGGTGGGATTGCTTATGGCATTTGTGTTATATGGAGGGTGTAGGGAGACTTGGAAGGGGTTTTCTATGCTGGCATTTGAGGGGCTATGGGAGTTCTTGAAGCTTTCTGCAGCTTCTGGAGTAATGCTATGGTATGGTATATTGTTATCATCTCCTTTGTTTTATTATTATTATTATTTTCTTATTTATTTATTTATTTATTTATGATACTCGTTTAAGCTTATCCTTTTTGTTCGCTTCTCGACCAAGTTAGCTTATTCTTATCGATCCATGGTACGTGGATAATTATAAGTATAATGATCTAATTCCTTTCAAACATAACAACGAATGTGAGATTTATTAAACCTTGGATATTTTGCCTCATTTTTCCAATGTCCATTGCTTGAGTTTGATTTTCTTTATCATTTCTCCAAGGAAAAGACCAACTTGTCAACCTCTTTCATGGCCATCAGCACGTCCATGAATGTCTTGAGCACTTGAGCTCTCTCCTTAACTTTGTAGTGTTACTTACCATTTGTCAATGTGAGGTTTGAAAGATGGATTGGCTTGTAGGACTCTTGCTTTTACTTATTGTTTCTTTGCTAATATGCCATCAAAGAGTTTAAAAGCTCATCGATAGACGTGGACTCCCAAGTTATTTGCTTATTCAATAGCTCTTATAATATGATTAAAATTTTCATTTATCGAGTGTACAATTTTGTTTTGCACTCGAACATCCTCTAGACTTTCTTCTTCATATTTCTTAGTTGATTAATCACAGTTAAGGTATCCATGTTCTCTCTCTCTCTCTCTCTGTCTCTCTCTCTCAGAGTATTTGAAGTTGAACTTTCTTTACCTTTTCTACTCCTTTGTAGGCATTTTGATGTATCTCCTATGCTTGGTTGGAAGAAGATGCGCTAGCCAGCTCAAAATGAGCTTCATCTAAGCTTTAGCAAATGACAAAGAGTGTCGTTTTGACTTTTTGTTTTTTATTTTCTACTCTACTTTCACAAGTATTTTTGGGGCACCGATAATGTTATTTCATATTGATGCTCACTATAGTCTTTCTCAATCTCCTCCCAAATATATTGGGAATCAAATAAAGCTTTCATTTGGATACTCTAATTCTCATAGTTCTCCTCTGTGAGACAATTAAGCCCCTTGTAGGTTCATGCTGATGGTCACCTCCGATAAACAAGTCTTTGATATCACTTGGATAAAATTTTGTGAGGAGAATAGAGGTATAAAATCTCAAGTTTTGGTTTTTGGATTCGATTTAATGCAACTGATGCAATGGATTTGCTTGTTCTATACCCTTCAGATACAAGATAGCTAGAAATTTCAGATCACTTCCATCTTCCCAAATAGAAGTACCATACTCCAAGAAAACAATAATAATAATAAAATCCCAAATCATCTATGTCCCAATGAAAGAAAAGACCTTTGACAATTTGTAGTCTACTTCATTTTTCTTCTTATAAATCAAATGATAATCGGAAAGATTTATGGAAATGTTTATTTGATGATTTATTCATCATTGGAATGCAGCTTGGAGAACTGGTACTATAGAATATTGATTGTGCTTGCTGGGAATATAAAGAATGCTGAAATTGCAGTGGATGCCCTCTCCATATGGTGACTAATTTCTCTATTTTTTCCCATAATTTGTATAATCATATATTAATAAAATGCTTGGCTGATAGAATTCACTTCTGATGTGCAGTATAAGTATTAATGGCTGGCAGCTGATGATCCCTCTTGCCTTCTTCGCTGCAACAGGGTAAGTTTAAAAACTTTTTTTTTTCATCTTACTCTTTTCTACTATGTACTTCAACGTTTCACATGATTTTAATCAATTAAGAAAGGTAAAGGCTAATTTTAAGGATAGTGTTATATAATATTTGTTGAATTCAATGTTATTTGTATGTAATGCAAAATTTTTATTGCCAAACACAAAGCAAACCTAATGGAGGGGACAGAAAGAGAGGAGAGAAATAGTGAGAAAAACTCTCAAAATTGAAGTATATCTCTTATAAAAAGTACATGCTAGTTTGTCTTTGTTGGAATACATGCTTAGGTTGCTGAAACATGTTAATTTGACTGATTCAAGCTTAGTTCCTTCTTCTTAGATGTTAGTTTTGCTGTTTTCAACCATCTTTTATCATGGCTGTTTTCTAGGACTATATATTATGTTAGTGTTTGGTTATTTTTATATTAGTGTTTTGTTATTTTTCTAGTTTTAAATTGTATTGCTTTATGTTAATGATAATGTTCTGATTTTCCTTCAATTTTCACCATGTCATTTCAGTTTTTCTCTTCTTTCTCTCCTTAAAAATCATCAATCTTGAATCAATTAAGATATGTTTAGGCTTATCTTGTAACTCTTTATTTATAAGGCTTAGATTTAGAATCAACAATGCAGGAATGAAATTTTTTGAATGATATATGAAATGTTTTATATTAATAACTATACTTGCTATAAAAATCTCTTGTTGGCTAACTTTGTCTATTACGTTGGCAACCCTTTATGAATTTTAAGCTGTAGGAAGCATCATTTAGGAGTACTAAATTTACTTTTGTGTGAACTACTTGGCAAAATTTCTAGTGATTTTGTTTGAAGAAAATTAAACTTCTTTATTTTTGCTTTTAAAACTCTTTTCTCAACAAAAGTTTCAAAACTATATTTTTAAAAACAAAATTTTGAAGTTTAAAGTTTGAAAAAATACTGAAAAGGCTATATTCCATATCTATGAACTGTTTATTATTTATTTATTTATCATTATTTTTTTTTTATCTATGAACTATTTATCTTAACACAAAAGTAGTAAAAACCTGTTCCAAACGAAGCATAAGTCAGATCAATAGTGTTGACTTCAAAGGCACAGTTCTCATTGTATAAGTACATTAAGCGCTTAGTTGGATGACTTTTCGTGATTTCAATTACCAAATTCATTAAGAATTCATCATTTGTTTTGGTAACTTCAAATATGAGGAGACTTCATTAAAATACATCGTCAAGTAATTAACTTATGTCCTTAAGAAATTTGATTTAAGTTCTTAATGATTTGCTAAACCCCGATCCATAATAACAGTATGATTTCATTAACATAACTCATGCGACATTGGGCACACAACATTAGCAATCTCTATCGGTTGTTGTTGTTGTTTATTTTAAAGAAAGTGTTAATAACTCAAAATTCTAATTGCTCTCAAAACTTTAGTTTTATGAAGACCTTCCTACACAACACTAAGGCATGTTTTTATATTAATAATAACAAGTAGTTTTGCAAATTATGTTCTAACATATTGATTTCTCTCTTTAATGACTTGTAAAAGAGTGAGGGTTGCAAATGAGCTTGGAGCTTGCAATAGTAAAGGAGCCAAATTCGCAACAATTGTCGCCGTTATTACCTCAAGCATTATTGGAATTATCTTCTTCATATTGATCATCACTTTCCATAACAAGATTGCTTATATCTTCACCATTAGCGAGGTAGTCATCGATGCTGTCGATAACCTCTCTTTCTTGTTGGCTTTCACCATCCTTCTTAACAGCATTCAACCGATTCTTTCAGGTGATTTAAATTTTTTTTTTTTTGCTCATAGAATCATTAAGTTATATAAAATAATAATAATAATATAGTGTAATATTATGACTGAATTCATATACACTGTATGTAGGTGTTGCAGTTGGTTCAGGATGGCAATCAGTTGTGGCATATGTTAATATTGGATCATATTACTTGATTGGAGTTCCACTTGGTATTCTTATGGGATGGCTTCTACATCTTGGTGTTTTGGTAAATGAGCTTCTTCATTTATTGATATTATTATTTTTAATTTTTTGAGTTTGGCAAAATATGAGATAGAACTTCGATAATAAATTATTGGAGAATTTTATATGATTTGACTGTAGGGAATATGGGCTGGTATGATTGGAGGGACTGCTATTCAGACACTCATACTGGCTATCATGACCATACGATGTGATTGGGACAAGGAGGTGAGAATTTGATGATTTTGTTTATAACACAGAAATTAAAATTTTCTCTTTGTTTTAGGCTTCATTTGAGATGATTTTCTTATTGCTTTAAAGCAGCTTTTTGGTAAAAAACTGCTTTAAGAAGCAGTAAAAAAGTCGTCCTAAATGAAACCTTATGCTTAGTTTAGATCAGCTTCTTTGCTTTTTTTTTAAACAACTTTCTCGTTAAAAAATTTCTTGAATTAAAAATTTTTGTATTAGAAAGCCGTTTCAGAAAGCAACAAAAAAACTATCCCAAACAAAATCTTAGTATTAATATGGTTGTTAATTCAATTCCTGAAGAAAAAGAAAAATTTTTTTATTTACCTGTGCTTAACAATGTTTTTCTTTTGATGTTGCAGGCATTGAAAGCTAGCTCGCGCATGGAGAAATTGTCTCGTCGGATTGAACGATAGTGTTATAATGAGAGAAGTTTTTTTTTTTTTTTTTTTGAATTTCTGTAATTTCGGGTCAAGTTATATGTATCTTTTCATGTAAAGATGAGAAAAATTTTTCTATGTCCATCTTTTATGACTCTTTTCCCTGATGAATAAGCAATAGATGTTTATGTTTTACTAATAATGCAGGAGAGCCATTGAATTATAAGTTTTGCTTCACAAATGTATTTTTATAAGCTCAAAGCTATTCATTTTAATAAAAATATTTATACTCAAGTATTCTTGTGTACTACGAAATTTATGGCGATAGAGAAAGAGTTTTATGTTTTAGCTTTGCATGAAGATTAGAACACATATAGATAAAAGAGAATAATGCACGAGACACTTGAATTTTTATGTGGAAAATCTGAAAGGGAAGTACCATGTGCCTATCCCAGCTAAAATCCACTATATACTAAGTTACAAAAAACCACAACTGGAGAATATGGTGTCATGCCTCAAAGTCTAATGAAAGAATTCAAATCTAGTCTTAATTATTTCATCGCAACAATAAGATACCAGAGTCACTAAATATCCTAAATTATAATAGTATAAAAGATACATAGAATTCAGATTTATATTTCTTTAAAAAATAATCATTAATAACTATCTCGAATATTTGTAAATCATAAAAATATAAGAATAAAATTGGACTATCAAAAGAACACCTTTCCTACACTGGCTCCTCACGAATTTCAATATGTAAACTCCTACTCAATTGATTCTTTTCCTTTTCCTGAAAGAGCAAATACTTCACAGAATGATCAACAAGATGCTCAGTATGCTACCCCAAAATCCTATCATAGAAATAAATATCCATATTTATAATTTTTGCAACTAAATGATTTAGATGACTTTTAAAATTATAATAAAAAATAACTTTAACACTTATAAACATTGACATTAGATTGTTCATGTTTAGTGTTTAACATTATTCGAAGAATGATATATACACAAATTGAACTTTAACAGTCATCATAACTAACATTTCAAAACCTTTCATTTGAAATTGAACATTGTAGACATTAATATGTACTTCCAAGGGAGTATCAATGAATACTTATTAATATAAGCATCCCTTACACTTGAATTAATTTCAATTAATAGAATATGCAACAGATGAATCATGATATGTGCATATTCTGATACCTGCTTATAACTCCACTTCCAGTTATGTTTCCCCTGGTTAGCCCACCTGCATAAAGCAAATAGAGCAGACCCATACTTTATATCTCTTACAACACCACTTTCACTTACAGCTCCCTTAATCCTCTCACACCTGTATAAGGCATATAGAGTCAAAAATAGAAACAATAACATAGAGGGCCCTTGTAAAATTACTTATAGTGCTCTTTAACATCTCTAGCATTAGAACTTCTACCATGACATGATATGCACATGCATAACTTGTATGTTTAACATCAAATTTCAACACTTAAAATGAACATAAACAAGCTTGAATTGCCACCAATATGATATTTCAAGAGGTAACACATGTATAATTTGCATACACACGTGATATTTATTATTTGAAAAATCATTCATAAGGAACCTTTAAAACATAATTTAAAGGCTTTTAATAAACCATAACCCATGCTAGAAATGTCATAATCAACCAATGAAAATTTTATTTTTTTTTACAGTTAATATGATCATAATAGAATATTCTAAAATATATCAGAAATCACACAGGGATTTTTTTTTTAACTTTAAAAATCGCATGGTATCCCATACATTTTCATACAAACATTGAAAATGAAATCATAAATAGGGTATTGTGAGCCTACCTCAAGATTGATTTTTTTCCTTAATAGACTCTATGGACGAATCTCATACTTTGGCCTCCAAAATCCCTTCTCTTCTTTCTCTCTCTCCTCATCACCACTCACCCTTCTCTAGCCAAATGAAATGAGGAATATGTTTTTGAAAATAGCTTTGGATATTTATATATTAAAATTTATTTTATTACTCTAACATGATGTGCCACTGCGCCTGGCAAGAATATTCAAGATACTTTTGGATAAAGAGATCATTGACACAAGGCTCTATATCCCGCGCTTAGGATTTTCTTTCTCTCCAAAAAGAAGGCTCAGCGCCATCCAAACCAATGTTGCAGTGCTCTTAAGGCCTTTTGGACACTTAACATTTCTTCAATTCCATACTTTAAACCTTATTTATATTTATAATAACTCCAAATTAAATGTGTAAAGGGAGGTTATAAAATTCTTTCCAGTTATGTAATAACATACATTACATCTTCCCCTCTTTATAAAAAATATCATTATCAACATTTACACCTAAATAGGTACACAAAATGGGTCTGGATATAACTGCCTTATTTATGCATCTTTCTCCCAAGTTGCTTCTCTTTCTGACCCTTGCTTCCATTGGATCTTAACCATAGGAATCTACTTATTCCTTAACTATTTCACATTAAAGGCCAAGAGAAACTTTGGCTCTTCCCTATAAGTTAGACTATGATGTACTTTAACTTCTTCTTCTTCAGGAATTCCTTGTTTAAGATTAGAAAACCACTTCATAAGCACTCACACATGAACCACATCATGGACATTTGACATGTGATTGTGTAACATCAACCTGTAAGTAGATTTTCCAACTCTTTAAATTTTGATTCAAAAGGACCAATCTTAGACATATTTATTATCCTTCCTAAATTTGATTACACCTTTTACGTAGCCAACTTTCAGAAAAATAAAATCACTAAATTAGAATTCAATATCTTTATGTTGTGTGTCTTTGTATCTTTTGTCTAAGTTGAACTGCTTCCAATCTTCTTCTAATCAATCTCATCTTTTTTATGCCATTGTCTACCAATTCAAAAGCTACCATCTTCATTTCCCCTACTTCTATATAAGATAATGGAGTTTTGCACATTCTCCCATACAGAGCTTCATAAAGGCCATACCGATATTAGATTGGAAGTTTTTATTATAAGAAAATTCATTCATAGGAATATATATAGTCCTCCGAACTTCCTCCAAATTCTAGTATACATAACCTCAACAGATCCTCAAGCACATGAATAACTTTTTTTTACTATCCATCTATCTGAGGATGAAAGGCTATATTAAAATTCAACTTTATCACTATACCTTCTTGAATACCCTTTGAAATTTTAGATGTAAACAAACCATCATAATCTAAAATGATAACCTTGGATATCCTATGAAATTTAATAATATCTTTAACATGCAGTTGTGCTAGCTTATCTAATGAGTTTGTCTGCTTCATGGGGAGAAAAATGAGCATACTTATGCAGTTTATTCATAATGACCCACACATCATCATGCCCTTTTCTCAATCTTGAAAAACTTATATCAAATTCATAGTGATTTCTTCCCACTTACATTCTCAAATTGATAAGGTTATAATAGTCCATTAGGCCTCTAATGTTTATCTTTCTCCATTTGACAGGTCTTACACTTGGAGACAAATTTAGCTTCTCCCCTCTTCAATCATAGCAATGATAATATCAAATTTAAATCTTGATACGTCTTACTAATGCTTGGATGGATTGAATACCCACAAAACCATCTACCCTAATCTTTTATTTGCAACTAGGGCCGCCTTCTATAATGAATATGATCAATATGATCCACTAATCTTACATATTCATCATCTTTTTTTTTCCTAGCCTCCTTAATATATAATCATCTAAGAGATAACTCCTGAAGACACATCAGATGAATGTGCTACCTTCAACTCCAATCTTTTTATCTCTTAGATTAAAGCCTACTTAGAAGTGATCAGATTTACTAGTACCTCGATAGACTTCCCACTTAGAGCATTAGTAATCAGGCTGGCTTTTATAGTTTGATAAATAATGTTGAGATCATAAGCCTTGATTAACTCAAACCACCATCCCTGCCTTAAATTCAAAATTTTTTGAGTAAATATATATTTTAAACTTTCGTGGTCTGCATAAACCTTACATTTTACCCCATACGGATAATGTCTCTAGATTTTTGATGAAAATACAATTGTTGCTAATTTAAGATCATGATTTGGATAATTCTTCTCATATTTTTATTCAACTGTCTAGAAGCATAAACATCTACCTTTCCATTCAATTAAAATATAAATCCTAATTCCTTTAATGAAACACCACTCTACACCTAAAATCCTTCAATATCGGATGAAATAGTCACCATAAAGGCTAACACCAAACACTCTTTCAACTTTTAAAATCTAGCTTCACACTCTATTGTCCAATCAAATATCATAGCCATCTAAGTTAATCTCAATAGAGGAATCTTAATTAAAAAAAATCTTCCAATAAACTTCTTATAATAATCTTCTATGCCTAAAAAATTGTGAACCTTTCATAATAAAATTGGCCTTGTAAAATCTTTCACGATTTGTACCTTCTGGGGGTCTATATACATGTTCCTTTCTTGATTATAATGTGCCCCAAAAATACAATGGGATTCAACAAAAACTCATACTTTAAAAATTTTGCATGCAATTTATACTACCTCAGAGTTTCTAGAGTTAGCATTAAGTGCTTCACATGATCATTTTCATTTCTTGAATACACCATAATATTGTACATAAATATAATAATAAATTAATCTAAGTACTTCCTAAACCCTTTATTCATCAAATCCATAATTACAACTAGTGTATTCGTCACTATAAATGGCATTGCTAAAAATTCATACTATCGTTATCGAGTACTTAATATCGTCTTTGCCACAACATCAACTCTCACTCGCAACTGATGATATCCATATCTTAAATCAAATTTCTAGAATACTAAAACACATTTTTACTAGTCAAATAGATCATCAATCATGGGTGGTGGATATTTATTTTTAAAATACATTTTATTCAATTCTCTAAAATCAATATACATATTTAATGACCTATTCTTCTTCTTCATTAATAATACATTAGTAACCCATAGAGTTCCACTTAGTCTGATGAATCCCTTATCTCACTTCTCTTCCAATTAGATTTTAAATTCTTATAATTCCTTCAATGCAATTCTATAAGAATTCATCACTATTAGAGATGTACCTAGAACCACTTTAATATAAAACTCTACATCTCTCACTAGAGGCGAACTCTTTAGCTTTTCAAAAGTGACATAAGTGAATTCTTTCACTACAAGAACATCTTTTA